GTGTAGAGAAGCCAGAGTCAGACGAGCCGGGTTCGGTATTAGATAAGACAGATCAGGCTTAGACGGCAGGCAGGAGAATAGGTCGGGTTCACAGGCCAGGTTCAATAACAGGAGATCAATCAAGTGGAAGCAGGGCAGAAGAGCAATCCAAGGACAGGCCGGTAGTCAGGGCAGGAGGCAATCAATCAGAGTCAGGAAACAGGCTGGGTTTTGGCACATCAGGTGAGACAATCACAGAAGGTTCAGGAACAAGAGCAGGGGAAAAGACCATACGGCAACGACGATAACCACAGCAGCCAGTTTTTTAATTAGCCTCTTGGCGCCAGTATTAGTGACAGGTGCGCATCCGCGTGTGCGAGTGCGCATGCCACGAAGCGCAGCCACACGTGACTCTGTGCAGTCGCCCCCACATCTGTTCGGCTCACCAGAACCCTGCGCATGCGCATTATTTGTGTGCCGCGGAGCTTGACCTGGACTATGGCAGGCATTCCTGACAGCTGATTGGCATTTGACATTGAACACCAAAATTGGCAGGTCTGCCACTGGCGCCCTGTGCTTTTCACAGATGAGAGCAGGTTCACCCTAAGCACATGTGACCGACATGAAAGGATCTGGAGAAGCTGCGGAGAATGTTTGTTATGCTGCCTTGTGTGTAACATTGTTCAGCCTAATGACCGTTTTGGTGGTGGGCCGAGTTGTTGATCCAGGAAGGCCCCATACCTTCCCCCTTGGAGGGATCCCACAGACCTCTACAGGCTAGACAATGGCACACCTATGACTACCATTTAGGTATGGGATGAAATCTTGGACTTCATTGTTCAGACCCTTTGCTGGTGCACAGTGGGATCCTGGGGGTTCCTCCTGGTGCATGAGACAATGCCCCAGCCTCATGTGACGAGGAGTATGCAGGCAGTTCCTGGAGGATGAAGGAATTAAAACCATTGAATGGCCCGCCTGATCTAAATCCAATAGAAGCACCTCTGGGATATCATGTTTCAGTCCCTCCAACACCGCCAGGTTGTAACATCAGACTGTCCAGGAGCTCAGTGATGCCCTGTTCAGATCTGGGAGGAAATTACCCCAGGACTCCATCTGTTGTCTCATTTGGAAGATATCCATATGCGCCCTGACATTGTGAGGCATGCCATACATACCAGTGGGGGGGCCACACAAAACTACTGAGTACCATTTCGAGTTGCTGCAATGAAATTGTTTAGCAAATATGTGGACTAGCCTGCTGCATCATTTTTTCACTTTGATTTTCAGGGTATCTTTGAATTCAGTACTACTGTAGGTTGATCATTTTTCATTTTACATCAAACAATGGGGCATCCTTACGTTCCTAACACATTACCCAATCCATATGTGTTTTCAAAGTGTTCCTTATAATTTTTTTGAGCGGTGTGTATATATTACACTGTGTACATATTATACTGTTTGTGTATATATATATATATATATATATATATATATATATATATATATAGGGAGAGAGAGAGAGAGACACACACATATAATGTTGTATTTACTTTGATCACCTAATCCTGCACAAGTGAAATTGAACATTCCACTCTACAAAGTCAAAAGTCTCTACTCCTATAAAATTCACGTCGAAATCAACTCCTTTATCGGAAAACTCATAGTAGAGTCTAATGCACTGAGCTGAAATCTCAAAGAAATATACTTGAAGATTATTGAAATAAACATTATCACTTGAGTGTTTACCTTTCAAGCCAATGTAAATGCCACCTTATCTTTTGGATTTATACATATCTTATACTTTGCTGAGCATTTGGGCCCTGTTTTGCTCTTCAATATGTATGCAGTGGCAAATATTGGATTATGTCTGAAGAATATTTATAGGGCACATATTCCAACAAATTAGTTCATCTGATATCACTTCTCACAGATTGCCTAACAACAAACCAAAAAAACCCACTTGTAAACTATAATAGAGAACCAACGGAAAACAGTAACCTGCCCTCTGTAATACATCTACTGGGCAGCCCAGCTTCTCCTGACAAAGTGCTTATGACATGACACACATGGAACATGAGTTTGTTGGTTTAACCACCTCTTTGACTAGCTAATCCTTCTTTAGCCTCCCTGGGGTTTGCATTAACTTTGCACTAGCCAATACATGTATACTTTCTCTTTAGTTCAGCTCTGATAGTCCCTTTATTCATTACATATTTTACTGTTACACATTTATTGAGCCTGAAAGTGAGTACTAGTTTATTTATTAATTTTGATATTGTTTTTGCCCTAAGACTTGGTTGTCTTCACAGACATCTGTGAAAAAAGTCCTGTTGTTTTCATCAATGTATATATTACAGAGCCAGGATACTGTTTACTGTGAGTATTCCATTTTGATTTACAATTAGATTTGTTTTTAAATGTTTAATGAGCTAAACATATTGTTTGTATTTTTGTATGCTCAAGTTTAGATATAAATTGTATAAATAAATGTTTGTTAATTGATATGCAGCATGCTCAAATGCTATATTCAGAATATTGATTTATATTTTGAACTTGTTAGGTATTCTTTATACAAATATAAAAGACATAAGAATGTTATTGATTACATTGGCACATAGCTAAAAACGTGTCCATTCGAAAAAAAAAGTCTTGCAACTTTAGAACCACAGCTGATCTAGAGAATCCTGGGGTAATAAGCACAATTTTAAAATTCTGCCTATATGACAGTATATATATTTAATATGACTGTCAAAAAAAAAATATTTTTTTAATAACAAGATAATGTAAAAGAGAAAAAGTAGCTTCAATAAAAATGCGAATGGCTCTAGTCCCAATAGAGCAGTTCCCAGATATTGCAGCAGAAACTGACTCCCAGGCACAAATACAGTACATTGTCACTGACAGTTGATATTTCTGCTGGAGGGCTTGATGCTGTAAACCCAAACCTTCCCTGCCGTGCCTGCTAATGTAGCATTTAAAATACTGTCTGGATTTTAGCATTAGTAATATAAAAAAAAGTATCTTCTCTTTGTGGCTATATTATAAAAACAAAAACACTCGGTAATGTGATTAATAATTATGAACTCTTTTTTGTAAGTTAAAACAAAATATTTTTTACATGCAAAAAATAATATAAATATGAATATTAATAAAAACATTAACAATAGCAAAAAAACACTTAACTTGTCCATTTTATGATAACAGTACAGGTTATTTAGGTGTGGTTTTACATTGCAGATGAAAGAACACAGACATACAGGGACGTGCTGCTTTACTAAAGAATTATAGATTTTTCAAGTAAATGGCTATTTCCAATAAGTATGCTTTCTTTGGATGTGAATATGGACTTAGTGTAATTAATAAAGTGAAGCTATGATCCCTTCAATCATGAATCAGGTGCAAGCAAAAATGCATTTTTGTTTCCTTGCACATGATTGGACATTTACACTAGCCACAGCTTCAAATTAGCCTGAAAGTACAGTTTGGCACCATAATTGAAAATTAAACTTAAGGGTTCTTTCATATAGTGCGGTGTCTACTCCAATCAACAGAGGGGATCCATGAGCAATCCCCTGCTGAATCAAAGCTTGTGCAGTTTGAGTACAGTAGACATTTGCAGACCCATGATAACTCTATGTTATCATGGGTCAGATGTAAAAAAAACTCCGCTGTCTGTATACATCAGGATGTAGGGAAAGAATAATTTTTTTTTGGACCTGGACAGACTTGGAAGTAGGCGGGTGTAAAAGGACACAAATTAATTTATACTCGCCTTTCCATACCCACATCGATGAAAAATATATTTTTAATATAATTTAAAAAATATTCTTCCCAAATATATTGACATATATTTGAAATACCACCATTTTGGCAGTAATCAATATATTTAAAAATATATATTCAACAAATATATATATATTATATATATATATATATATATATATTATATATATATATATATATATACTGTATGTTGAAATGCAATTTTCTTTCAAAATATATGACAATATTTTTAAAAATACATTTTTAAAATATACTGTATGTCTTTAAAAATACATTTAATCTACATTTTTGGAATGCGTTTACAAATATATGTAAAAAAAATATATGTTAAAAATTACTTTTTTATATGTTGGAAAAAAAATCTGAAGAATATAATTTAAAAAATATATATTTTTAAAAAATAGTTTTCATACATTTTGTAATATATAAAAAACACATTTCAACATGCAGAATATATATATATGTGTGTGTGTGTGTGCGTATTGATATATATATTTTGAAATACCGTATTTTCCGGCGTATAAGACGACTGGGCGTATAAGACGACCCCTACTTTTCCTGTTAAAATATAGGGTTTGAGCTATACTCGCCGTATAAGACTACCCCTCTTCCAACGCAGACCAAATAAAAAATGAAAAAACATCAGATTTGATTTCAATATGGTATGCTATTTCAGTATGGTATTCCAATGATGGGGGTGCTATTCCTCCCACTGACACCAATGATGGGGCACTACTCCTCCCACTGACACCAATGATGGGGCACTATTTCATCCACTGACACCAATGATGGGGCACTATTCCTCCCACTGATACCAATGATGGGACACTATTCCTCCCACTGACACCAATGATGGTGCCCCATCATTAGTGTCAGTGTGTGAGGAATAGTGCCCCATCATTAGTCAGTGGGAGGAATAGTGCCCCATCATTAGTCAGTGGGAGGAATAGTGCCCCATCATTGGTGTCAGTGGGAAGAATCGTGCCCCATCATTGGTGTCAGTGGGAAGAATCGTGCCCCATCATTGGTGTCAGTGGGAGGAATAGTGTCCCATCATTAGTGTCAGTGGGAGGAATAGTGTCCCATCATTGGTGTCAGTGGGAGGAACAGTGCTCCATCATTGGTGTCAGTGGGAGGAATAGCGGCCCATCATTGGTATCAGTGGGAGGAATAGCACCCCATCATGGTATCAGTGGGAGGAAATAGCACCCCAACATTGGTGTCAGTGGGAGGAATAGCCACCCCCATCATTGGTGTCAGTTCAAGGAATAGCTCCCCCATCATTGGTATCAGTGGCAGGAATTGCGCCCCATAATTGGTGTCAGTGGGAGGAAATAGCGCCCCATCATTGGTATCAGTGGCAGGAATTGCGCCCCATCATTGGTGTCAGTGGGAGGAATTGCGCCCCATCATTTGGTGTCAGTGGGAGGAATTGCGCCCCATCATTGGTATCAGTGGGGAGAATATTGACCCATCGTTGGTGTGTCAGTGGGGAGGAGGAATAGTTCCCCCATCGTTTGGTATCAGTGGGAGGAATAGCACCCCATCATTGGTGTCAGTGGGAGGACATAGCACCCCATCATTGGTGTCAGTTCAAGGAATAGCTCCCCCATCAATGGTATCAGTGGCAGGAATTGCGCCCCATCATTGGTGTCAGTGGGAGGAATAGCGCCCCAAAACATTGGTATCAGTGGCAGGAATTGCGCGCCCCATTGGTGTCAGTGGGAGGAATTGCGCCCCATCATTGGTGTCCAGTGGGAGGAATTGCGCCCCATCATTGGTATCAGTGGGGAGAATATTGACCCATCGTTTTTGGTGTCAGTGGGGAGGAGAATAGTTCCCCATCGTTGGTATCAGTGGGAGGAATAGCACCCCAATCATTGGTGTCAGTGGGAGGAATAGCACCCCATCATTGGCGGTGTCAGTTCAAGGAATAGCTCCCCATCATTGGTAACAGTGGCAGGAAATTGCGCCCCATTCATTGGTGTCAGTGGGAGGAATAGCGCCCATCATTGGTATCAGTGGCAGAATTGCGCCCCATCATTGGTGTCAGTGGGAGGAATTGCGCCCCATCATTGGTGTCAGTGGGAGGAATTGCGCCCCATCATTGGTTTCAGTGGGGAGAATATTGACCCATCGTTGGTGTCAGTGGGGAGGAGAAAAGTAGTGCCCCATCGTTGGTGTCAGTGGGGAGGAGAAGTAGTGCCCCAATCAATTGGTATCATTGGGAGGAAAACAGTGCCCTCATCGTTGGTGTCAGTGGAGAAGGAACAGTGCCTCATCGTTGGTGTCAGTGTGGAGGAGGAATAGTGCCCCAACGTTAGTGTCAGTGGGGGAGAGGAGCGGCTGCTCCTTCTTCCAGTTTTTCGGGGCCCCGCTCGATTTTCGCGGGGCCGCTCGGCTCTGCCTCCTCACCGGTGAGGAGGCGGAGCTGAGAGCGGCCGCGTGACCATCGAGCGGCCGAACTGAAAGAAGGAGCAGCCGCGCTTCCTGGACCGGATCGTCGTGGGACCAGAGCCAGGTAAGGTACAGCAGCCCCCTCTGCCCACCCCTGTGCTTAGTGGTCCGTTGGAGGAGGAGGGGGGGCACCCGGCTCGCACCGGCGTATAAGACGACCCCCGACTTTTCAGAAGATTTTTAGGGGTTGAAAAGTCGTCTTATACGCCGGAAAATACGGTATATTCAATACAGCCAAAAATTGTAGTATTTCAAGTATATGTCAATATAGTTGGGAAGAATATTTTTAAAATATATTTCAAATACATTTTTCTTCCATGTGGGTAGGGCTGCATAGAATTTCCGATCAGGTCTGACTGAAAAACTGACAGGCAGACATGATCAGAATACCCATGTGAAAGGGCCCTAACAGTTATGGAGGAACAATTTTCACAGAATTTAATTAATATTTTACATTTTTTTATTATCTACAAAGTGTTTAATGCTTATAATGTTATACAAAGGTAAAAAAGGATAGGTACTATTTAAAAAAAAAAAAAAAACCTGCCATATAGATCTTTTATGATGCTCTTGTAAAACTAATTGGCAAGGGGAGATAGTAAAGATAACACTATCTTTATTGCATCTTACAACCGGGTTGCAAATTTATACCAGAATAAATGTGCACATAACTCACAGATTCAGCAAGATCATCCTCCCACACTGTACAAGACACAGCCTAAGAATAAAGTATGAAGTCCCAAACGTGGACAATTCTCCTGCTAGTATTCTTTCTGTATCCACAATCAGTCATCTCAAAAAAGGTCACGTATTATGGGTGAGTACAGAAACATTTTATCATATTTTCACTATTGAATGCCATAATATTACATTGCAGAGTCATGGGACTATCTATTATTATAAGCATCGATTTTTAGCAAACTTTCTCATCAGGGCTCTGTGGAATTCTAGGCTTCCTCCAAATGTCACTAGGGGTTCCTTGACCAATGAGCAATTTCTGCATCTCAGATAAATAACCATTGGTAACAATTATCTTTTTGGCTATCTGCAAGGGGTGATTCCTCCCAACAACCTTAAATGTAATGAACATAGTCCCACAATGACCATTATACTAACATACTGTGAGCTGTAGATATAGCAATTATTAGTGGGGGTTCGTTGATACAGGAAAGTTATCTTAAGGGCTCCTTCATGTTATAAAGTGTTGAGAGAGGTTGATATTGAAAGGAATTAACAACATGTAATACCACAAATTACGCAAAGCAGATTCAATTTTTGGAAAATTCATGTTGACAGAAAGTCTTCTTTGTCTGCTTTTTTTTTTAGAAATTAGATTACATAAAAGAGGTATTATTTCCATACTAATAAATATGTAAAAAGCTTGAGATCTCATCAGAATAAAAATAGGCTGGAAACCAAAGATAGTATGATAGGGAATATTTTAACCTCTCAGCTTATCAGTAAAGATGAACAGAGTGATTTCAGAAACTCTTTTTCTCTTTGGCGAAAACAACAGCTCTTTTTTTAATTTGTTTATTTCGCAGGTGTGTTTTTTAGGGTAACTTGACAGTAAGAAGTAAAGAGCTGGAAACTCATCCTTCTGAAGAATTCCTTTATTATATCAAGTAGAGTGTACAGGTAAAACTGGTTTATGCGTTTTAGCAATAAGCCTCAATCATAGCTATGATTAAGACTTATTGCCCAAATGCATAAGATAATTTTTCCTGTACACTCTACTCGATGTAATAAAGGAATTCTTCAGAAGGACAAGTTGCCAGCTCTTTACTTCTTAATTTCAAATTGCTTCAGTGTTGGGAAGACACTTTGAGCAGGTGCACCATCAGTCCCCGCCTCCTTGCGGAATCCAGCTGGGCGTAGTATTTTTTCTCTTCATGGAAAAAAACCAAGCAATAAACATGCCGCGCTTCTCTCAGTGTTACACTATGCTGAATAAAAATAACATAAAGAATCCCAATGTGAAATATAGGTAATGTATATATATATATATATATATATATATATATATATATATATATATATATATAAAATAAACAATGTGCACAAAGAACAATACATACTGTAAATATAGTCCATCTCCACAGAGTGATTCTTTCAATTCAAAATGACGTGTGCTGTACAAATCTTCCTCTTATTATATGCAGTGTACCTCCACCAACACCGACACCAGTTGTGCTCTCACTGAATTTTTTTACCTCACAATTAAGTTTGGTCAAAAATGGTTTGCGTCCATTATATGGACATATATTGGTGGTATGACCTCTATCAAGACTCTCCTTCACTGCTGATTCAGCTCCTGCCTTCTCCTCCGCTCAGAGACATATAGAAAAAAATATATAGGCAAACCAATAGTGCTTTTATCGTTTTAAAAACTGACATTTTATTAAAATACACAAAGGCCACTCACATTGTACAGGTGCTCCATTGCACCAAATATTGCGTGCATAAAAAACAATCTGTAAAAACTGTAGCTGACACCCTCAGGGTCTACTGGTTCCACTGGATTCCTCCCCGTGAGCTCTTTCCAGAGTAGGTCAGCTAACCACGGAGCGTTGTGATGTCACCAAGCTCCTCCCCCACGTGCCGCGCCAGGGGGGACACATGGCCTCCCCAGAGGGATATAATTCCTCCCCTGGGGAGGCCACATGTCCCTGTGCTGTGGCACATGGGGGAGGGGCTTGGTGATGTCACCATTTTACATTTTTTATTTTACTTTTTTATGTTGTCTATGTTTTCTTTCTGTATGAAAAACATATTGTGGCTAATAAGGGGCCATTTTTAGTTTTATACAACATCAGATTTTAGCATGGTTAAAAACATTTTCTGTAACCCTCAGAAGCTATTTAAAACCAATTCACTCTTAAATACCAATAAACACCAACCTTAATTTTTTTTTTCCTTTCAGTTGGATACCACAGTTAGCGACTCAATCGATAAGACAACTTGTAGGGAAGACAGCAACATGCACAATTCCTTCTTACCTCCCTTTAATTCAGGTTGATGACTTTTCTTCCTCTCTGGGCAAAAGAAGTACTAGTTTCTTTATAGGCCTGAAGTAAAGGTGTGCAGAACCTTCTTTTCATAGTGGATATAGCCAAGATGTGTCCCGATAAAAAAATGCAGTAGTAGGTACTGCACGACTGCTACGGTCAGCAGGGTTGAGGCTAATGGGAACATAGTGCCATTGTTCAGGTGTTTTAGAAGATGTGAATCTCTCTTCTGGTGGCATTCTTTAAGGATGCTTGGGTGTAAGAGCATGGTATCTGGAGTTGTTCTAATGCTTTTAGAGACTGTTTCCAGGATTCCCACCTTTGTTGTTTTCTCCTTGGGTAAGGGGGTATCCCAGTCTGAACTTTCAGAAGTAAGTTGTCTCAGCAGTATCTTACCCTGAATGGTGAGAGGTGTAATGAAACCTAAAGGATCATAAAATGCTGTTTACTGTAGACAATACTCCTCACTTTGCTGATGCTTGAAATGTGAATGTGTCTTGTTTAACATTCCAAAGCAATCCAAGACTGCGTTGTGTAAAGAAAGGTCAGATCCTAGTTGGAATTTCTTCACACTGACAGCATGGTCATCAGAAGGAAAGGCTATCATGACCTTGTCTCTGTTAATGATGATTTGTGAAGTCCTGAGGTTAGCAGTGGCAAGCATGTTTCTGGGTTCTGGTAAGAAAGGTCAATAGCTTCTTCTTCATTGGGCAGAGATTTGAGTCCATTCTCTACATAGAAATTCCTTTCGACGAACTGTCTTGCATCAGATCCAAATTCTTTCTCACCCTCTTGAGCTGTTTTCCTCAGTCCATAAATTGCTACTGCAGGAGAAGGACTGTTACGAAAACATGTACCTTCATTCGGTAGTCTATGACTTCATCATTGACATCATTATTGCGGTACTATCGGAACCTGAGAAGTTTCTGTAGTCTTCACGGTCGATGAAAACAGGGTGTAACATATGCTGAATGTCAGCCATAATAGCAATTGGCTCTTGT